AGATTTTATATAAATGTGGTATATAAAACTTATATATAAGTGAATCTCTACTCTTAATTTAAATTTAGCATTAGTTAAGTTTGAACTAGTTTATACAAGTTCAATATTTTTTAGCTTAATATACCTTTTAAAAATATCTATGTTATAAATTAAACAATTATTCAAAATTAAAATATTTTAACCTATATTGTTTGTTAAAAAAATATAAGATACATCATACAAATAAATATTATTCGAATTATGCAACATAAATTAGTAGATGAAATGAGTCTTTTGATATTGGTAACTATTTACCTCATCTAATTATTCATGTTTTGTAGCTTAACTATAAATTATTATATTGGCTCCATTTTAGAAATTATTTTTTAAAACATAACATAATTTTTGTCATACAAAATTTCAAACATACTAGTAAGCTTGAGCAATTGTCAAAAAAACACATAGACTGTATATAATTTTTGTCCTTTTTTATAACTACCAACCAAATGAGTAAAATAACAAAATGATTCAAATTTTTTAAAAATTTTTTTAAAAATATTCCCTCCTAAACTTAATATTTTGTCTTTACATTACACTAATAGTGCTAGAGAATTTCCTCAACCTCCGATCTTAAATCGAACGGCTCACATTGATTCTGGGCCCACCATCCCCTACCATTGTCAAAGCAAGAACATGACTCTATAATGGTCACGCATGTACATTATCATTTCCCGCTCAATCATCGTCTCCTCTATAAAAGGTAAAGATCCCTTCGCCTCTCTAAGCAGCTCGCTAGCGACTGGAAGACGGCCGGAAAATCTCTCGGAAAAATGGCAATTCGATGGGCCACGTCGGCGCTCCGGTGGTTTGATTTCGATCTCCTCTCCCTCCGGTCCTCCATCTTCTCAGTATCCTCCTCCTTCCACTGGCCTCAGCTGAGCTTCAGTTTCGGCCTCTCGGTCGTCGACGATCTCGTCTGGCCTCTCGTCACCGCGTTCGAGTCCGTCGCTCTCGTCTCCATGTTCTGCTTCTTCTTCCTCTTCTGCGGCTGTACTGTCTAGAGAGATGACCTTCGATCTCTCCCGATTGCGATGCCATCTGAGGAGCTCACGTGGTGAGGGTCCGCCGTCGATTTCTCGGCGTGGAGTAGCACGTGACTCTGATGCTTGACGGTGACTATGCACGTGTGACTTATGGCAGTTTCTTTTTTAAATTTGTTTGAAATTTTGAGTTTTTTTTTTTTTAGTTGGCCAATAGGGTGCAGACGCGTAAGTGACTTAGGGTAAATTTTGTCTATTTCCGTTTTATATGGTACTCTGAACAGTTTGAAAATATAAGTAATTGAACTTTTTTTTTTTAAAGTTTTAGTTAATATATTTTTTATAATATATGAATGACAATTAAAATTTATTTTTAATTATATGTAATTATTTAATAAAAATAAAAAATAAAAAAATCTCAATTATTAATTATAGAGAAAAGTATTTTTTATATAAATTACAGTTTTTTAAGTGTAGATATTAAAATTATTAAAATATTAATAATAAATAAATATAAGATAATTTGGTTAAAAATATTACATTAATAATTTCAATATTTAGGCGGTGTAAGAGT